GAAGATCAAACACCGCATGTTCTCACTCATAGGCGGGTGTTGAACAATGAGAACACATGGACACAGGGAGGGGAGCACTAGACACTGGGGTCAGTTGGGGGGAAATAGGGGAGGGATGGTGGGGGGTGGGGAGCTGGGGAGAGATAGCAAGGGAATAGATGCCAGATGTAGGTGATGGGGAGGAAGGCAGCAAATCACACTGCCATGTGTGTACCTATGCAACAATTTTGCATGGTCTTCACATGTACCCCATAACCTAAAATGCAATAAAATAAACAAATGGAAAAAAAAAAGAAAGTATTTCAGAAGGTATTCTCTATCTATCCAATCTCTATCCTCTAAAGAACTGGGTGAGTGACCAGCTGAGTGAAGGTTACAGAGATAAAGTGTTATCTCTGTAACACCTCACGTCGTGAGGTGTTGCTACCTCAGACGGTGCTCTGTAGAAGAGTGTGACTCTATGCTACTTGAAGTCTTTGTATCAAGGTAAAAAAAAACAGTTCATTTTAAGGGAGTTCATTTATTGTCTGAATATTACCATATTGGCAGCTCAGATCTGGCCATGTTCTCCAAAGTCAACTGTGTTTTCCTAATCACATGGCCCTTGAATATGACATGTTCTTATGAGAGATGCTGCTCCCTTTCTCCAAAACTCTGCACTGTCCAGTATCCAAGGAATAACCCTCCCTCCCAGGGTTCAGCTCCACAGGACTCATTAGAGAGCACTGAAACAGAACTGGAGAGCCCTCAACTTTCTGTCACCTTTCCTGGTAAGCTGGTGTCCTGCTGACACTCATCGATACCACTTGCCCTCCTGGGTCAGTGAGAAAGTTCCTCTTTTAACACCGACTCTTCTATCAGCATGATGGATCCTATCCCACTTTTGCAGAACACTGTTCCCCAAATCATGACTTCTTGAGGACTTTCTCCCTCTCTGCCAGAGATTTTCCCCAATACAAATGTGTTGCCTGTTCCCATCCTGTTCCCACTAGCTCCCCCAGGACATCCTCTCATTTGCTCACAGTGTCATGCCCTGGTGCCAGCTCACCTCCCATCTTTCCTTAACCACCCCCCACCCAAATCACTCACCCTAGACTACTCTTGCCGAGGTCCCACAGCCTTCACACCCACAAACCACCACCCTTCACCCCAAGGCTCCACTCCACAACCTGGCCCTAATCTTCTCCAGGGAACTGCCATTGGCCTAGCTGCTGGGGACTAATACTTACATGTGAGTTACCCTCCTCCAATCCGTGTGCAATCCCTCTATGTCTACCTTCACTGGCAGGCTGACTGCTTCAGATTCTGGGTTTTCATGTGTAAAACCCATGTGTAAAACATGCTCACCTGTAACAGCCTAGTTGCTTCTTAGTCCTCTTCTCTGCCCCAACCCTCCTCCCAACTATGGTCTACTCTCCCCAGAGCAGTTGGGATAACCTCTCAATTAAGGACACTGCACTCCCCTGCTCAAGATCTACCATTAGATTCCACTTCAAACTGGAATAAAACCTTAACTTCATCCCCTGGTCTGCAAGCCAAAGGGCCCGGTGAGCGATGGCACCGCCTGTGTGGCCTCATCTTTTCCATTCTTTTCTTGATTTCTCTCGCCACACGGGCTCCCTGAGGTCTGTTCCTTGAACACACAAGAAATGTGTTCCTATCTCTCTTGGCACTCATCCCACTGCCTGTAATGCCAGCTCCTTATCATTCTTGCTTTGTAGTCAGGTCACTGTTCACATGTGACCTCTCTAGAGAGGCTCTTTCTGATCATTCTATCTGAGAGCGCGAGCCCCTCCCATCACTCTCTCTGTATCCTGCTTTATCATTTTGCTATTTGCCATTACGTAAAAAAAGAAATGCTTTCCTCATTAAAACAAATGCCTCATAAAGACAAGGACTGTGCTGGGCCTGTCCTATTCTCTACCCCAGCACTTAGAAGAGTGGCACAGGGTTGGCATCCCAGGGGTGTTTATGGAATGGGCACCTTCTTGGCAGTATGTAGCACTGTGACCACAGACTTTCCTATCGTGAACCCTTTGTTCTTATCATTTTTTCCTGCTCTTCCTCCTGCCACTCTGGCCACTTAACTGGGGAATTGTCCCTCACATGCAGGTAGTCTTTACAGAGCTATCTTTTGTCCATCTTCTTTTTTTCCTTTTCCTGAGTCGCTGACACTATAGGTGTGTCCCACCATGTCCGGCTTGTCCACTTTCATTCTAAACAATTTCTTTGCATTTGAGCAGCTATTCTTTTTTTATTTTCATTTTTAATTTTTTCTTTTCCAGGGTTTTGCTGTTGTTGTACAGGCTGCAGGGCAGTGGTGCAATCTTGGCTTACTGCAACCTCTGCCTCCCAGGTTCTAAAGATTCTCCTGCCTCAGCCTCCCAAGTAGCTGGGATTACTGGTGTCCACCACCATGCCCAGGTAATTTTTTGTATTTTTTTTAGAAGAGACAGGGTTTCACCGTGTTGGCCAGGCTGACCTCGAACTCCTGACCTCAGTGATCCGCCCGACTTGGTCTCCCAAAGAACTGGGATTACAGGTGTGAGCCTTCGTGCCTCGCCTTGAGCAGCTACTCTTACTTTTCATTCCTTACCTCCAGCTCAGATTCATGCTCCAGTCCCATACATCCAAATCATGACCACACTGCTCAGATTCATGCTCCAGTTCCATAGATTCACATAATGACTGCACATGTCACTCTGCTATCTCACGGGCACACCAAATTTAGCCTGAATACAGTGAACTCCCCCTTCTTCCAATCCAGCTTTCCCTCCTGCATCAGCTCTCTCTCTCTCCATCTGGAAGTACCACTCCTGCTTCCCTCCAGCATGTGCTGAGCATTCCCAATGGCTGCAGCTCCATGAAATGGCCTGCATCTGATCCAGTGCTCACGGAGAGGTTTCTATGCAGGTGCCCAGCAGAAGCCTTTGACCCTGAGCTCTAGCCGGATGCTAAAGGAGAGGGTACTGCTCTAAGTGTCCTTTCTCTCCAGGCCGTGTGGTTGACATTCCTCTATAGGTTAGTGTGGGGAGGGGTCAAATAATCCCAACCATCTGAACAGTACTTTATATTCAGAATGAGTCTCACCACAGGAATTCTGTGAGAACCATGTAGAGGTAAGGACACAGCTATGGCTTGGCAGGCTAACTAGCCAAGCCCATGTCCAAGTCTTACTGGTTCCACATGCCTGGGCAATTTCCCGAGCAGGCACAAGAGGTCACCAGGAACAACATAGCATTCGGAGCAGCAGCTCCAGGTCAGAACTGTGGGGAAACAGCCCAGAACTCAGCTTAGACCTACATTGGAATCTGTTGAGGGAGAAACCAAAGTCTCTCCTGCTGCTTTTAGTAGCAATTATTCTGTGATAAGAAAAGCAATGGCATCATTTTAAAACATGACAATGATTAAACTCTAATATGTGTATTGACTGTGCTTGCACGGGTTTCTCTTAAAAGATCTGATGATAACTTTAGGAACCTACTTTTATTTAGAAACACGGCCATACACTGTGTAGGAGACCAGTTATTCAAGATGCTTTATAGATAAGAAATAGCTTACCAATGTTACGATTGCACCTGGTACTGTTAGTTTTGTGACTTTAAAAGATTACAGAAATATCTGAAAATGCAGTTGCGTTTGGGATATCCTCAAAGGATTTCCCTGGAATCTTTTCTCGCTGAAAGAAGAAAAAAGGCAATATAAATATTGATTCAGGAAAACTTCTTAAGTACTCTTAAGATGGGAATGTTCAAATTTGTGCCCATGTGTCCCTTACAATAATTTTGCCGGGATAAAATGTCTTTCAGTTCTAAAAATATAAACAGTAGGATCTTAAAATATTTTTGGTTTTCTGTGAACATAAATGCTAAGGTGGCCCTGTGGCTATCATATGCCTGAAGAAGGAACTTTTTAAGTTTTTATAGCATTTAAAACAAATTTAAATTTAAATTGTTTTCTAATTCTATTGACAGAGTTTGTGCATATTTGTCAGGACTACTTACAAATATTTATATTGTTTGCTGCTATAAAATATTATCTTTTAAAATGACATATCTTGTTATTTGGAAGGTAGGTTTATTCCCCTTAGCGCTCAAATTAAATAAAGCTGTAAGTCAGTTCTTACTCCAGTATGTCCAATTTACAACACTCCTTACGTAAGATGATTAGACACAACTTAGCGAAGACTTAATGGTGGACGATTTTGACTTCATCAGGAAATAAACAAAACACAACTCTCAGATACTCAGAGAAAGTGACACTTACTGAAAGTGGATGTATTGGCTCATCAGAAATAGCCAGAGATCTATTTGCATATCTATGAAAGAAGAATGTGCATTTAAGTAATTAATTCAGGAATTGTTAATATCTTAGTGAAGTATCTGCTGGGAGTAGGGCATGGAGGGTGGAGGGAGATACTTCTTGTTTGTTTTGGTAAAATTTGTTCACCAAAACAATTGTTGCCAATTTTTCTCCTGGATCCTGGCCTTCAGAGGGTTTCTTGACCTCTTTTTCGTCAGCACATCACGTTCTGAACTGGGAAGTCTTTTCTACATTGATGAGCCAGACTTGTCTTTAAATACTGACTCCGGCTAACAGGGAATGGTAATAAGCTATATCTATTTTTACTCCTCTAACCTCATGGTGGAACACAAGAACATTTTAGAAAGCAGTAGCTGTTGGCAATAAAGATTTTAGAACTTTTTAGAATCAATTAAGATTTTCCAAATCTTTCTTTATTATACTTTATGTTTGCTGAAGTCGTTTGAGTTAGACTTAATTGCCTTTGTATTTTAAAAGAGGCCAGTCTTTAATGACTTTAAAAACTAACACATTGTGTGATCATTTAGGAAACCAGTGGTTCTCCCAATGTGGTTTGTGGACGCCTGAGATTCCCTCGGAGACCCAGGATGTCGAAACTGGTTGTTGTTGTTGTTGTTGTTGTTGTTGTTGTTGTTGTTGTTGTTACAGGGTTTTGCTCTTTCACCCAGGATGGAGCACAGTGGTACAAACCTGACTCACTGCAGGCTTGACTTCGTGGGCTCAAGCAATCCTCCTGCTTCAGCCTCCCAAGTAGCTGGGACAAAATGTCTACACCAACATTCCCAGCTGATTTTTTTTTTTTGATAGATGGGGTCTTGCCACATTGCCCAGGCGGGTCTCAAACACCTGATTCAAAGTAGTTCTCCCACCTTGGCCTCCCAAAGTTGCTGGGATTACAGGTGTCAACCACCATGTATGGCCCAAACTGTTCTTACAAGAATCCTAATTCAACCTGAGAAGCTGATTGAAAATAAAACACACAAATAATTTATTACTTTTTAAAGTATTAAGACATTGATTGCTTTCTCCCTGTTCAACACTTGTCATGACTGTTTGAAAGCAAAAGTGGGTAAAACTGGTGGTTTCTCGGTATGAATAAGGGCAGTGGTACCAATTATACCAGTATTCATTCCACTCTTCACTGCCCCTTGCAGTTTTTATTAAAGTAGCATGTTTCCCTGAAGAATGTCCTTGATGAAAGAGTAAAAATTAATGGTGTTATTAAATCTTGACCTCTCTTTTTAGTATTCTAAGTAGAAAGTTCACATAAAGTGCTTCTGCATACTGGAGTATGGTCATGTTAAAGAAAAGCACTTGTGATTAAATTGTGAGCTGAACAAGCCAATTTTTCACAGAACGCCATTTTTATCTGAAAGTATAACTGATTATTATCCATAAAATTAAGTCAAGTGAGTCCGTCATTTCAAGGAAAATAACAAGTATTTGTCTATAATAAAGCTAAAACTTTCAAGCTAAAAATTAGGACTTTGAAAACTCATACCTACTACTGTGAGCTCGACAGCATCTCCATATATTTGAAGACATTTTTATAATGGTGGTGATATTAATGAAAGTGAGTTTTTGACACTATAAATAAACCAAGTAGCCAATGCATAATATTGTAAAAGCCAGTAAGGGCAAAGATCCATTTATTGTACAAGAAAGATCAGTGACTTTTAGTGAACAAATTCATTGATATGTACAATCCTGCTATAACTATTTTAATCATTTAGCACTTCTGGAGTTTTGGTGGGGTTAAAGAATACCCACAGTTACCTGAAAGCTTTAAAAATACACCTTTTTCCTACTATATATTTGTGTGAGGCTAGGGCATCTTTTCACTGCTTCTTTACAAATAAATTGCAAACAAAGACATAAACAAATACACTTTGGAACGCTTAATAATTTAAAAGAGTCTTACGACCAGAAAACCCACAAATGATTCGCTGTAACACTGTAAAATAAACACTCTATAGCTTATAATGTCTAGAGTTGTGACCTGACAGCATGTTTTGTATGACACAAAGTGATGAGCTGTCATAACAAGACAGGTTTCAAAGAGCTCACCTGTGCTTTATGTTGTAATATATTGCCAAAGTCACACTGTGGAGGGAAAAAAAGTGTTGTAAGAACTGATTTTATCATTTGTTAGGCCTGAAGATATATTTCTAAAGGGGGGTGGGAGGTAACTGTCTCAGCAGCCCTGAAATCCTCTATTCAAAACAGTACCATGTGAGCACTTTTGTTTTAGTCCTCTGGCTTTACAGGAAAAATAGGAGAACCAAAATGCTAGGCAATATGCTGTTAGAAGACTTGTGTCTGCAGATGGTTATTATGTATAAATAATGACATACTTTCCCTGACATTTGCTCTTCTGCCCATAGAATCTTTCATTCTGTGCAAGTTACTTATATCTATGTGTACATATGCTTACATTTAGGCCAGACAGTAGTGTTTTGCTTTTTAAGTGGCTAGGCCCTGCATTGTGGCTGATTTAGTTCATCATCACTTACTCACCCATTTGTCATTATTTCCCTAAAAGCACAGAATGAATGTGCTTTATACCAAATAAAGTAATTTAAAATCACCTATGCATGATTAGCAGAAAATTTATTAGTAAACATTATAATGCATCTAAAAATCGATGACACTTCTAACTCTCCTAAAATAAGCAGTACTAAACACACAGTGTAACACCACATCATACAATATTAATGACAGGTACTTCCACATTAGTTTAAACAAAATATGAATGAACAAATACAACTCTTCAGATGTATGTTACTGTGTTCCAAAGTCATCCACAGATGTTGTGTGTCAGGAAACAGGGGTTTCTCTTTGATAAGTTCCGTCCTTCCATTCACCCTCAACATTTAAAATGAGACTCAGAATAATTTGAGAAGGCAAATTGGAGTTTTAAAAGGTAGGCCTTACAACGTTATTAGCATCTAAGATAGATATTTCTATAGTGCTTCCAACAGTTTCATCTCCTAATTTTAAGATCACAGAATTTGAAGTTACATGCTGACAAGGACCACCGAACCTCACATGACACTCCATGCACCACCCATTTTACAATTAAGAGAACCAAGGCTTAAAACTGATTTGCCCAAGGTCCCCGAACAGTGTTCCTGTGAACGGGAGGTGTTCACAAAACACTATGGCATGGTATAAATTGAAGCATATGCACACATAGATAGAAATGACTCACACAGAGGAAAAGCCCTGTGGCTAGAAAGAAGAGCAAATAACAGGGTAAACACGTAATTTTTATATTAGAACCATCACTTTTTCACACAAAGGAAGCAGTGGCCTCCACATTTGCTGCACACTGGATCCCCCGGGTAGCTTTACACAGGGCCTCAATGTCAGCTGGAGACATTCTGATTTAATTGGCGTTGGGTATGCTTTGGGCATCAGAGTTGTTGGTAAAGTTCCCCAGGTGATTCCAATGTGCAGCAAAGTTTGGGAATGACTGAATTAGGGTTAAGATCAGAATCATCTGGGATGCTTTTATCCATATAATGATGCCTCACATACTTCCCCATTTGCCTAAAAGGCTTGGGAGTGCCCAGAGACGAAGGGAAGGTGGAGCTGGGAAGATGCATGTGTTTGCAGACATATATTTGAGGAAACAGTATAAGTGAAACAGTATATGGCTCACTTCTTCCATTGAAAACAACGCTCTACTAACCATGAAATACTTTTTTCAAAATTTTTCCTTTTAGGTTAATTTGCTATATTAACTTGCTCAGTAAACCTTTATTTCATCAAAAGCAAATATACCAAATAATCCCTTCTAAAACTGGAGAGCAAATTAAAACTTATTGTGCTTCAAAAATAGACTTCTAGTCCAGGCATGGTAGCTTATGCCTGTAATCACAGCATTTTGGGAGCTGACTTGGGTGTATTGCTTAAGCCCAGGAGTTTGAATCCAGCCTGGTCAACACACCAAAAGCCCTTCTCCAAAAAAGAAAACATATATATTTCAATTTTTAAAAAAACTTGTAAAATTTAGACTACACTGGAAGAAAAAGCACGACTTTTACTTGTTTGAACAAGGGTAAGCTTAAAAACTACTTTGAAGAGCATACTGAAACATGAGAATCTTTTGAAATCAGAAGAAGCCAGGGACACTATCCAAAAAAAGGTGGCTTTTTACGTAGGACTGAATACAAACATTAAGTGATGATGCCATAGAGGTCAAACCTCAGGGCTTTAGACACAGGTGGAGTCCAGTTCTTGCTGAAACACAATTGGATCTCAATTATTCTTATACATGAGAGAGGAAAGTCACATTATTATGAGTATAAACTGCCATTTTTGATTAAAGTAGAAGTTACTGACAAATTAGCTTAAAAACTAGTACATTAGAGACAAAATCTTGTAACTTAGTCATGTTTATAGACTGGAAAGTCAAGTTAGGGATAAGGAGATTAACATTCTGAGGTACCACTTGTCAAACTGTTTTCTGAAAATCAACACTCATAATCAAAGGAGATGTTAATAATGTTTCCTGGACATCTCCATTGGAGCTGGCATTTTTTTTTTTTTCAGACAGAGTTTCACTCTTGTTACCCAGGCTGGAGTACAATGGCGCAATCTCAGCTCACTGCAACCTCCGCCTCCTGGGTTCAGGCATTTCTCCTGCCTCAGCCTCCTGAGTAGCTGGGATTACAGGCACGCACCACCATGCCCAGCTGATTTTTTGTATTTTTGGTAGAGACAGGGTTTCACCATATTGACCAGGATGGTCTCGATCTCCTGACCTCGTGATCCACCCACCTCGGCCTCCCAAAGTGCTGGGAGGAGCTGGCTTTTTAAACCAACTCGAACCCATCTTTCAAAGGTGTTTGGAAAGGGCATCTCTGATTGTGGCCTATGAAGTGCTGGTGCATGGTGGGAAAATTTAAATGCAGATACACTATGGTGCCACTGGAGGACAAGCTGTTCCTTCTTCCAAGAGTAGTTTCCAAAGTAGTGCCCATCATCTTAGGCCTATGGCCCATAAAGAACTAATAATTTTTCCTGGAAACATCCAATAAAAAGCACCTCTCCTGTCCATTAGGTTCAATATTGTCATAACATAAATGCATCAAATACATAGCCATGCTGTTTCTGGGATTGCTTATTTGCTAACTGGCTTTCCCTTTTACCACACAGTGTCTAAGATTAAAAGAGAAAGAAAATTCATACTTAGGCTCTGAAAAATCCATATATCATTGACATCAACTTCTTCAACTGCTTGCTGAAAAGGGCAACCGAATGGCTGAAATAACAGAGGATGGCCGGGATGCTTTTAGCATAGGAGGTGTGTCACTCAGCCCTTGGCAGCCTCGTTGTACTCACCTTTCTAATGTGTGCCTGGATCAGGCTCGCTGACTGTGCTGTTATCTAGCAATATGGTGGAACACGAGCTGTATTTTCTATCAAGATGGCAAGGAGGTATCTGAAGAAGAAGGAAGATAGAGAAAAATATCACAGTAGGCTGAACTTACAAATGTGTGGGTTTTTTCCCTTTGTCAAAATGTCAAACAATAAAGCATTAAGGTATTTTTTATACCCCGTGACCTGCCTGAGTGTGGTATCATGTGCAGCTCTATGGGAAACTCATTGGAGACTCTTAACTTTCACAGATGATGTTTGAGAAATGGGTTATAAAATGCTGCCCTTGATATGCCACCGATCATCAAACCTGGCAAGCCTCTATTATAAATTCCCTTTATAAATAAAGGGAAACATTTAAAATGGGATTTCATGTTTTTTTCTTATGCAGTAAAAAGCACTGAGATTTTCTGTTTCTGTTATTCATTAACTGCAACAAAATGTCATATATTAAATAATATTGACACAAGAGCATTTGATTGCAGTAAACGCAGACGTAATACTACATTTACTAAGTTACTAATCCTAAGTGTGTGCATTCAAGAGAGAGTGCGATGGAACCAGTGTGTCAGAGTCAGAGACTGTGTGTGCCAGAGCTGCTCAGTCACCAAACAAGTGAGGGCCATAGGTCTCCCTGGGCCTGTTTCCTTGTGGGAAGATGGAAAAAGTACTGCTTTAAGACTCTCTCACATCCAAAAATCAGATGATTAAAACAACTTTGGGAATTTAACTTTCACTTCATGTTTACACAAGACTGCTATTACACTACTCAGATGAGAACTTCTGAGAATACTCTGCGTTCATTTCAAAGGTTAATTGATTTGATTCTTTAAGTTATTTGATGCACATTATGGCACATTCCTGCATCACTCGTGCTGCTTTCTGTCTGGAATATTTATTCCTTTTCCCCTTGTCCCAGCAAGCTTGACCTCATCCACCTTCTGGGATCCCTTTCCCTGCAGCCACACCACAAAACGTTTCTGGTTTTGTGTATTCATCAGTGTAATTCACCATGTGTTACATGATACAATTGCCTGTAGAGTATCCCCCTCATGAGAAAGTGAGCCTCTCCAGGGGAAGGAGGGCCCCTTCTCTCCTACCTGCAGCTGCTGAGCACAGAATGTGGCAGAAATTAAGGAGTTCAATAAGAGCTTGACAAATATTTAAATCAGTTACAATTTGGAAAGTAAATCTTCCTACAGATACAAATCTGTGAAAATTCATCCACAGTGCTATCAGAGATATGACAATGAACCTTTTGAGTCCTGTAGATAATAAACTATCTCTAAAACACTTTCAAAGTGTCTATTCATTTGTTGAGAGTGCAATAGTCAATACGGAAACTGCCTCAACTATGTTAAGTAAATGTTCCTCCTGGCCAGGTGAGGTGGTTTACTCCTGTAATCCCAGCATTTTGGGAGGCCGAGGTGAGTGGATCACACGGTCAGGAGTTCAAGACCAGCCTGGACAAGATGGTGAAACCCCAGCTCTACTAAAAATACAAAAATTAGCCAGGCGTGGTGTTGGGTGGCTGTAATCGCAGCTATTCAGGAGGCTAAGGCAGAGAATTGCTTGAATCCAGGAGGTGGAGGTTGCAGTGAGCTGAGACTGTGCCACTGCACTCCAGCCTGGGTGACAGAGCAGGACTCCATCTCAAATTAATAAAAAAGAAAATGAAAGAGAGAGAGAGAGAGAAAGTGCTCTTCCTTAAAAATAATCCCAGTAGCCAAATGCCAGTCACCAAATAGTTAAAAAGATCAACAGCATTATTTAAAACCACAAAATACCCATTATTTTAACTGGAAAAAAAAACTAACTCAGATGAGCCTTCCTTCCTCCTCTTAATATGCCTGTTTGCATCATGTTATCACACTCTTCCATCAGGGTCTTTCACAAACACATTAAAGACAGAACGGGTTTGGATCTACTACTGAGCTAGTATGAAAAAAAAAGGTAGAGTAGTGAGAAGATCTAGTGGTTGTTTATAAAACTACACTGCATTTCAACATTGCCAGTAGCCAATAATCAGAAATATCCATAGAGTCCAACAGCATTTTGCTGCTTCAGATGCTTTTTACTGCAAATTCATTTATTTCTTAACCAAAATCCAAGACGTTTTTGAACAATATTATTACTTGAAGGACCAAATTACCTTTTAAGATACAAATGTTTTAACTCTAGCTAAACTCTTATGTTTCTTAAACTATTCTGTTATAGTTTACATTAACAGTGTATGTGTGTCAATGTATATACTTTTTTCTCAAAAACAAATATAGCATACAAAATAAAAATGGAATCATTCAGGTACTTTCATTCAAAGGGAAAGAAGGTATCCCTTAAGGTCACTACTATTAGGGGTAATGCAGCATAATACTTTAACATAACAAAAGTCAATTCTGAGGAAAATTCCATATATGAGAATAAAAATAACAGGAAAAATGCACCAAAACCCTGACTAGTTGGTACAGCTTTAGGTGATATCTGTCCCCATTTTTTAAATTTAAAATTTAAAGATTACTCACTGTGACCTCCACCTTCAAGTTCAAGCAATTCTCCAGGCTCAGCCTCCCGTGTAGCTGGGACTCCAGGCGTGTGCCACCACACCTGGCTAGTTTTTGTATTTTTAGTAGAGACGAGGTTTCACCATGTTGGCCAGGCTGGTCTCCAACTCCTGGCCTCAAGAGATCCCCCTGCCTCACCTCCCAAAGTGCTGGGATTACAGGCATGAGCCACCACACCTGGCCCTCAAGATCACTTTTTTCTCCCCACTTTTTTATAAGACATGTTTTAGATGTTTTTAAAATAATTAATGACTTTTAGCTAACTTGAAAATTTCCAATACTTTGTGCCCTAACAATATCACCTCCATCTATGTTGCACGGCAATGGAACCACATGGCAGGTATGGAGTTTGAATAGAATTATCCCACAAGGCCTGAGTGGAAAAGTGTAATATGCTTATTATAGGTATAACTAGAAAATTGTCTGAATTAATGTCATAATTATGTTCAATTTAAACTTAGATTTACACTTATATGTCGGTTCTAAATTTGCGTTAAATACAATGGATTGACCACAAATTTATTTTCTCTTCCTTCTGAAATCTCATGAGAATTAGTCATAAAATAAACATTATACACAGGACCAGGAGACAGGATTGACAGCAGATGATTCTGAGTCAATGTTGCAAGGTGACAAGCAGATAGAGGAGTGGTAACTGACATGAAAGCACAATCCTGGTGTCCACAGGGAGTGACCTGAACAGAAACAAGCAATTCTGTATATTTTGAAGAACCCAACACAGTCTCTAAAATCAGAGCACATGGTGACCTTAAGGTAGGGTGAAACATACAACAGAGCCAGCAAGGTCAATAGTAAATCTGTGGTTTAGAACCCCAGGTCCGCCGGGCGCGGTGGCTCAAGCCTGTAATCCCAGCACTTTGGGAGGCCGAGGCGGGTGGATCACGAGGTCAAGAGATCGAGACCATCCTGGTCAACATGGTGAAACCCCGTCTCTACTAAAAAAATACAAAAAAAAATTAGCTGGGCATGGTGGCGCGTGCCTGTAATCCCAGCTACTCAGGAGGCTGAGGCAGGAGAATTGCCTGAACCCAGGAGGCGGAGGTTGCGGTGAGCCGAGATCGCGCCATTGCACTCCAGCCTGGGTAACAAGAGCGAAACTCCGTCTCAAAAAAAAAAAAAAAAAAGAACCCCAGGTCCACGTGTCCTCCCATCTTATAAGGAAAGTGGATGTATATTCTCTGGATATATTATACCTGAAGGTTTCTGATCTCAGACCTACCAGGGCTGAAACCTGGGAAATGGGAGTAAATGGCACACACAAAGTGAAACTCCACCTTGCTTCCCAACCCTGCTTCTGGAAAGCCAGCAGCCATGCTTGCACTGCCCAGGCAGAAAATTGGGAGGCCCTTCTTGGAAGAACACTGAACCATGGCAAAGAAAATACTCTCATTCCCTCATATAATACACTTATGTTCCTCAAAGGAAAAGCTGCCGCGAAATCTAAATCCCTACAGTGAGACCCCTCAGTGAAATAAAGGTCCTGCTTTCTATGAGAGAAAGCCACAGACCACCACATATATGAGCAAAGCCTCCAATGGGAGATCAAAACAACATGAAAAAGGAATTCCTGGGACCAGTAAAAATTCAGGAGCAAAACTTTTCTCAAAATCTTAAAACATCCTTAAGGAGATTTTGAAAAATTCAATAGAACAGTTAGCATGGACAGTCAAAGAATCTCAAAGAAACAGAACAAAAGACAACCTGGAAAATCGGAGGCGAGGAAATTACAGATCAATGCAGAAATACTGGTCTAAGAGGTCCAACATCTGAATCATTAGACTAAAATAGTAATAACAAAACAGAACACACAGAAAAATTCTCTAAATTTTATTGTAGACTTAATGGCCACAATAAAATAAAAGGTCCCTACCAAGCCCTGTGATACAATTTCAGAATCTCAGGGATAGAGAAGGTCCTAAAAACTTGACAGATGGAAACATTGATTACATATGACGTATCACACAATGGCAATACTTTCAAAAACAGTATAATAAAAATGCAATAGAAAAATGTCTTCAAGCCATGACACTTAGTTTTCACTCTAGAATTCTATACTCTATGTCAAAGGAGGGGTTTTAAGAAAGCCCAGATCTCTAAACATGTGTGTACCTGAGCCTTTCCTCAGAAACTGCGCTCCAGCACCACTGGGGAATAACATAAGGCAGAGGGCAATGCACAGTCTAGGACTCAGGGACCCAACATTAGTGGTCCCAGAAGATTTCAGAGAGAGCTCCCAGGCCAACAGGTGCAGGGCAGCCTAGGAAAACACAGTCTATCCTGAGGAGGATAACGACAGGCCAAGGAAATTTGCTTCAAGAAAAAAACATGGAATGTATTTTTTAGTAGATAAAACATATTTTTGATAGGCATGTGACAAATGTTACAACTCTTGGGGAAGAATAGTTGTTAGAGAGCCAAAGGAACATAGTCAGAAAATCAATTCCACACACACAAAAATGAAGGATGTGAAAACAGAGAGCAGCCAGAGGCTAATGGTCACATTTGGCTTTATGAGCCATCATGGGCTAGGAAAAGGGAGGTTACCTGGGAGAAGTGCAGAAGTGTTCAGGTTTCAGAAATATTGAAGAGAAAGAATGATGTGCAAGGAGGAGGCACACTCAGAACATTACATGACTCAGCAGTGAATAATATGTGCATAGTCATAATAATGTAAATATCAATTCATGATTTAATTAAAAATGTGTTACAAGTGGAAGAAACGGGAGGGAAACAAGGTCACAGTGGAGTGAGGGTGCTACGCTTTCAGCTGCTATGACAGGGAGTAAGCAGAAAGTGTTGAAGGAAATGGACTTAGCTATTTTCAATTTTATTTGATTTTAAAAGATTAAATATTTAAGGCAGATCTTTATATCACAACCAAATGATTTAAATTTAACTTAAATGTCAGGCAGCCTTAAAAATGGGCACAGTAAGTTAAAGACTTTCTGCATAAATCTGACACTTAGGAAAATAGAAAAGAGTTAGAAAATTTACCAAGAAAGAATCATGCTAACAGCACTCGGTCCCTGTTACATTTCTAAGAAATCATGACAGATAGACTTTTAATTTAAACAATTAATTTCTTAACTTTTCAAAAGCTTACTTACAGAATATAGGCAAAAGCTTCTCCTCTTTCCTTGCACCAAAAATAAAAATATAACTAATCAATTCTGGTATAATAATATACCATAGAATAAAAGTAGTTGCTAATCATCTGATCATCACCATATAAAACAAGATAAATCTGATTATCACTATATAAAAAATCAATTAAAAAAAATTTTTAATTTAAACAAAATTTAACATTTAAATAATATGACATGATGAATCTCATAATGTAAGATTTAAAAACACAGTTTTACTTTTTGACCTAACACGTATTCTATTACGTACAAATGAAAGAATCTCCATGTACCTACGGAAAGGCAAAACAAATTAGGGAACGTGTGTGCCCTCCAAATCTCATGTTGAAATGTAATCCCCAGTGTTGGAGGTGGGGAAGTCTTTGGATCACGGGGGCAGATCCCTCACGAATGCCTTAGCGCCATCCCCTTGGTTATGACTGAGTTCCTGTTCTGAGTCCATGCATGATCTTCTTGGGGTTTTGTTGTTGTTACTGTTGTTGTTCTGAAACAGGGTCTTACTATGATGCTCAAGCTGGAGTACAGTGTGATTATGGTTCACCGCAGCCTTGACCTACTGAGCTCAAGTGGTCCTCCCACCTTCCCCTCTAGAGTAGCTGGGGCTGCAGGCATGCAGCACCACATCTGGCTAATTTTTAAATTTTTCATACAGACAGGGTCTCACTATGTTGGCCCAAGGTGGTTTCAAACTCCAGGCTCAAATGATTGCCCATCTCAGCATCCCAAAGTGCTGGGATTGCAAGTGTGAGCCACTGCACCTGGCCCGATCTGCTTCTTTAAAAGCCTGCAGCACCTCCCACTCTCTCTTGCTCCTTCTCTCACCATGTGAAAGATGACTTCTTCACCTTCCAACACAATTATTAGCTTCTTGAGGCCCTTGCCAGGAGCACTTGCCAGCACCACACCTCCTGTACAGCCTGTGGAACTGTGAGCCAATAAAGCCTCTTTTCTTTATAAATTATCCTGTCTCAAGTATTCCTTCATGAAAATGCCAAACTGTGGGACAGATGAGAAATTCAGCTAATAAAAGCGTTTACCTATTGTATTTCTGAACCCCTATGCAGCAGTGTTTTGCTTTTTGATGCTACATTTACACATAGCTTACTTTCATTACTAGGATCTAATAGCTGACAGCTCTAACAACCAGTTTCTGGCCAGGAGTCAATCTCGAGATGCACTAGAATACCCCAAATGACTTCTCGGTCATCTATTTATACATTACTGAAAAAATAAATGGGTCTTTACTCAACTGAAAGGTAGCCTACCTTAAACTTAAATGTCAAAACGAGTGTGCCAACCTAACTGAACAGGGTATCCTCAGCACACACAATCATTTTGTTCCAACAAAGGTCCAAAGAATAAAAGCTCCAAAGAGGGACTTGGGCCACACTTTCTTCCCTACAATGCCTCCTCCTTTGAAGCTGAACTGGTCTCACTGACACACATTTCTCACCACTGAAGTGACAGGGGCAGGGGATCGGTTTCCTTCTACTTCCATACACTCTATGTGTGAGAAGCCCGTGGCTCTTGGAAGAAACTGAGAAATATAACAATCCTAACCAGAAATTACTAGCTCAAGTCAGACAACATCCACACAAACTATGAAAATGCAGGTGAACAACCCCTTTTTTATTGTGCTGCATTACTTCAGATGTTATTCTAGAACCCCCAGTTCTTGTATTCTTGTTGTTAAAATTAACTGAAAAACATGGTGTATGGCTTTTTTGAAAATAAGATAACAGAACATTATGAAACATAAGCAACAGTACAGAAAAATCCTACAGTTCTAATTCTCATCCTAAAACAGGCAGGATATGGAAACTTTACACTAGCTTCACACACTAAGGCCAATACGGAAAACAGCACAGGGCATGTTACATTTCTATTGTGATATTGTGCTGACCTAGAGCCAGAACCTGAGAAATGCCATTTTATAAGATAAAGCTGTGTTTGGCTTCTGTAAATAAAGCTGCTAGCTTGCTCTGAAAAATGCCCACTATGTAAAGCTGCTTAAACTTTGCTGATCAGTAACTGCTCTCTGTGGCCCTAACGTGACAGGCAGGCAGTCCTAACCCACGCCATCTTGGCTCCTGTGACTTGTAATAAGTAACTAAGGTCTGTGGTTTCCACCTTACCCAGATAATGTGTAAACAAATGTTTATCTTGAGTTCTGTAAACCACTTAAGTAACAAACGGAATGACAAAAGTCCCCTGGCCCTTGGAATATCCGGAGCCCTCCTCTCCGCCCAGGAGGTGATTTACAGAATCCACTAGCCCTCGGAATGTCTGAAGCCTTTTCATCCCCATCCCCGCTCCTCACCCCCACTCCCAAGGTGGTTTTTCGGGTATAAAAAGTCTTGGCACCCTCCTTTCGACGCCACAGGTTGGAGAGACGTGAGTCCTCTGTGGTGGCCGGCAATAAAGACCCTGCAATTTGGCATACTTTTGTCTTGGTGTTAATTTTCTATGCTCGGTCCAGTATAACACTATTACATTCCAACGAAAAAGTTGTAGCAACAACTTGGATGTGACAGCGGTTAGAGCACTGTGAAAAAGGAGGACAAAATCACAGATCCAATCTAGAACAATGGATTCTTTTGATTTGCTCAAGTGAAATCCAAGCTGTGGCCTAAATCCTGTCACTTGTTATTAAAACATACTCTTCAGAGCAAGGGAAAAATGGCAAAGACGTATGAAGCAAAAGGCATAAATCTGTGACTACTACACTAAATCATGTGGCCAATTAACTGTGTTAGTAAAAGTCACCAAATGTGTGAACACAAAGTCTGTGTGTTTCCATAAACAGTGACACCTAAATGAAATTATATCATATATGAAAATAAGTCAAGCAAATCTAAGAAAAGTTGAACATTTTTAACTAATATCTGAGTTTCTCTAAATAGTTTCTGTAATACACAAGATAGAAAATTTTTAGGTTTTCCCTGAAGGCAGAAACAATATTGTCTTACCACTCATTTGATACTTTCTCAGGAAGAGTATGCTTGCCCTTGGATGGTCAGAAGCAATACCTGTAGAGGAAGAAGAGGAAGCAATGTCATAAGTGAGGTGAGTAAAAAAGATTCTTTTTAAAACTACATAACCATTTTAATCACTTTTAACAGTCTTGAGAAAAGCTTTCAGTAATAAATGTCAAGAAAATAAAGGCACCAATGTCCCAATTCTACTGGAGAATGCAAAAATCACAGAATCTCTCCATGCATGTGGAATAAATCCAGGCTGGGGCTGGGACTTCTTTTTCAAACTTGCACCTAAATAAACGGATGCAACTTTTAGATGAATCACATATATGCCCTCCTCCCTCTACTTATCAAATATAACCACCTTCCTCTAGGCTGCTATTACCAGCACATTTCAAAGGAAGTTTCAAGCAGTAAGAGATGCTGTGGTCAATTACTGTGGTCAGACACCGGCTCAATATTTCAAAAGCCTTAAAACAAAGAGCTGTTTTTGGCAAAAACAATTTTATAAACAGACAAAGTCTCACTCTGATGCCCAGGCTGGAGTGGTGCAATGGTGAGATGGAGCCAGCTTAACTCACTGAAGGCTCAAACTCCTGGGCTCAAGAGATTCTCTTGCAGCTGGGACTGTGGGTGCAAGCCACCATACCTGGCTAATTTTTTTTTTTTGGGGGGGGACGGAGTTTCACTCTCGTTACCCAGGCTGGAGTGCAATGGTGCGATCTCGGCTCACCGCAACCTCTGCCTCCTGGGTTCAGGCAATTCTCCTGCTTCAGCTTCCTGAGTAGCTGGGATTACAGGCACGCGCCACCATGCCCAGATAATGTTTTGTATTTTTAGTAGAGACGGGGTTTCACCATGTTGACCAGGATGGTCTTGATCTCTTGACCTCGTGATCCACCCGCCTCGGCCTCCCAAAGTGCTGGGATTACAGGCGTGAGCCACCGCGCCCGGCCACCTGGCTAATTTTTAACCATTTTTTTTTTATAGAGACAAGGTCAAATGAGACATACCTGTAAATGTGTTATAAATCCCCAAAAATGATATGAAGAGTCTATTTTGGGCCGTCATCCCACACTACCCATCTGCTACCTGGTGTGTGAAAGCACTCAGAGGCTTACCTTACACCACCAAACAAGGAAAACCTTTCACAAGTACTTGCATGCTTTGTGTATAAAGGCACAATTCATTCACATACTATCTTTGTTCATTCTTTCACCATTTTTGAATATTCTGAGAGAACAATACCTTGCAACTTCCAAGTCGCATTCATCATGAAGCTTAATTATTCTAACGTTTAAATAAATTAAGAGGCCAACCAAAGTAAAGAGAAGAGGTGTAAGACACTTTCTCTACAGGAATGAAATCTGTAGCATACATTTTCTATTTGGAAAACGTAGCTTTCGGCCAGCCTGGGGTTGAGAAAGGGGCCAGAACTGGGCATTGGGGTAGGGAGGAGGAAAGAAACCACCAGAATGAAGGGTGGGGGCAGGCACGAGGCAGGACCAGTCCTCCTGCCTGGTGCATGGGCCTGGGAAAGCTGGCTAGGGACAGGAGGGAGGAGCCCGAGGCTGTGGATGCCTCTGGGGTGGGGAGAGGGGTGAGAACTGGTATCAGTGTCAGCCAGAGCTGTGCCTGAGGGCAAACAGTATCATTCATTGCCTTACCTTTGGGCATCTCCTGGTCTCTGATGTGCTGCAGGTCATAGCTCTCACCAGCTCCCAAATCCCACAGGGCAGGCTCCACAGCAGTAGGGTCTGGCGCCGCCACCTCCCCCTCATTGATGTTATAGTTGCAGATCGGTTCTGCCCAGTGCACCCTGCGCTGGCTCTGCTTGGGTCTGGCATTGGGGAGGACCATGATCCCTCTGCCCGGCCTCTGCTCCTCTCTGCCTTGGTCTGCACTTATGCTTGACACTGCCTCATAGATGTCACAGCTGTCAGACACCACCCCACACAGCCAGCTCGGGCCCCAAATGGGTCTGGCCCTGGTGTTGGACATGTTCCTTCTGTCTTGGCCTGC